CTAGAGCACAAGTTATTCACAATATGAAGGGTCTCACTAATAGTCAGGTCGTCCATATACTTCCATCTCCACGATTCTCTGTAAGCCAGAGCGTTTACCATTAATAGAAAAAGAGTAGGTCCTAAAACGCTACCCTGCGGAATTCCAGCTGGTACCGGTTTCCATTCAGATGAAAAACCGTTGACACACACTCTTTGGTGCCTTCCTGTCAAGAAACTACGAATACTCTGAATTAGAACAGGATGGACATCCAATTCTCTCAGGATATCCAATAAGATGTTATGATCCACTCTATCAAAGCCTTTATTAGCCAAAGATGTTATTCATTATATTGCGAGACATTCCGCACAGCATCCAAATTTTATTAAGGTACACCAAACCAATTTTGAGCTTTATATACGAAACTGGACCAAAAAAAACCACCACATAACCTGTGTCGCCAATAATAATATTAATAAACAATTATTGCTCGATGAGCCGGCTGAGCATATCAAGAAAGATATTAGAGAGATTCAGATTTGATTTCCATTACCGCTACCGCTACCATTAATGGACTATTAACCAATCAAATGCGTTTGATGATACCTGATGGAATATATAATTAACCACTGACTTAGATGAGTACTAAGCCAGTGAGAGGTAGCGCAAGTACAGTGAGAGGTAGCGCAAGTGGGAGTCAAATTATCTGAATCTCTCTATTATCTGAGCGAAGCTGAGGTGGATAACCTTTGGCCAAGGTCTGAATCATTCCTGGTATCATGTGTAAATTGAATCCAAATTATATATTCAAAAGAACAGACGAGAAAGCTAAGACTGGCGCGTATGATAGGAAAGATGAAGAAACGCATTGGTGGTGTCACTGTCTTTTTCTGACAATAATTTGAACAGTTCCTCTTCGTTTATCTACTACAAGCCATTTTTTCAGGTTTTAAAATATCGCGAGCTTTTCAGGCAAGCTGCCGATCACCCTGGAGGATTGGGCGCTACAGCGGGCACCATAACCCCGGGGACATGTATTCCCATTGGAATGATGCAATGGTTTTACCTTTGTGTTTACCGTAATTGGTAAGATGGCGTCGCGAACCCCCACCAAACACGTACATGCATTATCTATTAAATCCAGAAGGTCGTTTGATCCCTTTTATGCATGTTGTTTTTCCGGAGCAACAAAATGGGAGCTCTATGGGGCGGGCCCCTCTGACATATCCCATTTGTGGAAATTAAACGCATTTTTTAAGATGCAGAATGAAGAAGATGGAAGTGGCTTTCCAACAGTGATCACGAGAAGTCAAATTGTTAAAATGGATGAGGTATAACACGATATTTCGCTCAAATTATTTGCCTTATTTCTATAGGACTCTCCAAAAACAGATAGTATTGACATATATGGAGATTTTTTTCCCGAGAAACAAGAAACTGTTGATGGAAAGAAAACGCAAAAAACAAAGTATCAAACGAAGGATCCAGTTGATGATAAATCTGGTACGTTTATAACTTTCAAAAGAAATTTGTTTCAAATCATCTTCACTCCAGAAGATATAACTACTGAAGAAAGCACTCAGACAGCGTACCTAGTAATGATAATCAAACTTTCAATCCTTCACAAAATTGCCTTGCGAAAAAGCAGGAAATTATAAGTATTACCATGTTCGTGCGCCAGTATTACATGACGTATTGCCTTTGATATGCGCCGTTGTTGTTGATAGCTAATGCCCCGTGTTGAAGATCATAGTATAGCATGATTTTAACATGCATTTGTACGTAAGATTTAATTTTACTTGATTTGTACAAACGAAATGACACTTTAGTCTGAGAAGTGGATGAGGGACACACCCGCTTCACTTCTAATAACACTTCTAGCAACACTTCTAGCACATTCCTTGCAATAGCAACTCCTAGTTATGTAAATAACATTGTGTGTTGTGCAGTTTGTTCTTCGAAAAGTGGTGAAACACAACGCACTCGTTCTGTTACGTGCTGAATCACCGGCAAAACGTTACATCGTAAAATTGATCTCCAAAATTTTTTGACGGATTTCGGTTGAGTGAATAAGAGATCAGGGCAAGTTCAGGGGATGTATGGGCAATGCCTGAATATTTATCAATTATTGGACGAGGTTGAGCAAAATATCGTGATTTGTCGGTGGCGAGCAGATCAATTATTTGCCGATGCCGAAGGCAGAGGCAAATAATTGATCTGCGAGCCACCGACAAATCACGATATTTTGCGAGAACCGAATTCAATAATTGTTTTATCATTCACTTCATTTTATCTTTCGTTCAATATAAATTCGCCGTCGCTCTTTCTTGCTTCTGCATTAAACTTGCGAAGGACGTTGGCAAGAGTTTCTTTTGTAGTTTTAAGCCAACTAAATCGTCTTTGTTGATTTAGTCTTGCTTCTAAATGCTGGCGAAAGACATTGACGGCGGTTTTAGTTGCTTTTTTATGTTTAAATAAGCAAGACAACTCATTTTCCGAAAGTTCAGCAAAGCGAGCCGCCATTGTTTACAAAAATTGAAGACAATGCGCATGCTCAGACTATTATTTGTAGCTGAGCAACGTTTTTAACAAATGCGCATGCTCAGACTATTATTTGCACGCAGTTATTTGCAGGTAAATTAACCAATCAAAATTGAGAACACTATAAAGTGAATGATAATAAAAGTTCTCGGAGGTAAAAGATATAGCCCATAGATATCTTATATACACTAGATAGCGCTTCTCTTTTAGTAAAATTGAAGCCAAGAATATTCCAGCGGTTACCCCCATTTGAATAGATGGCGGCCATGTTGGTAGTTCCCACTCGCTAATAAACGCAAAAAAAACAACAATCACTTGAATAGTTTAAAAATGTATTTGGAATAAATTTAACTTAATGTTTAAGTTCCCTGTTTACGAAATAGAAAACATACCAATCTTCTCAGTTCATGGGAAACCCTGAGCCTGCAATCACGTCTTCAATTTTTGAATTGCAGAATATTTAGATGCACTATCTTGTGTATAAGATATCTATGGTATAGCCTTGACCGCTGACCTTAAACCCTAATCGTACCATTATCATAACTACGGTCGGTGCCACTGTAGGGATATACAATCACCTGAAAAATATAAGCAAGACTTCAAATTCGGCGTTTCGAGTGCTTCGCTCGAAACGTCGACATTCTGCTTATATTTTGCAGATAGTTGTATATCCTTCATATAGCGGCTTCTATTATCATAAACCTAACTTTGGAAATAAAACAACTTCACCATTAACCCAAGGCCTTATCTCTATTTACGTATGGAAGCGCAAATAAGGGTAAGAGGTGAGATAAAACAATCCAGAATGACAATACAATCATGCTGAGTATCTCAAATTGATTTTTCAGATATTCATGAAGCTTCGACGGTGATCAGTGTTCCCATTCCAGAAATACTCCCTGACGATCTGGATATTAATGAAAATTGTAAATATGCCATCGGTCCTAAAACTTTAAGCATCATGGGTAAATTAAATGGAAGGATGGTTACGGTTAAAAAATATCAACGAACAATTCCTGATTGCGAAATATCACAACTTCTTAACGACGAGTATGAGACGATCAGGTTCGTAGAATAGATGTATATTTAGAAACAAAATGCCTTGTTGGGTGATATGAACCTATAATGATATTCAAACAAGATGTCTGCCGAGGCGTTCAGGTTGCACGGGTTGCAATATTCACACTCGGTTACTTTTTGAATGAATGAATGAATGATTTATTTAGACACGTTACGTCCAGGAGCATAAAGCTCGTTCAAAATACGAACGTGCAACTGTGGTAATTATATTATACAATTACTTTATGGTTTCCGTGTTTGGATGGCCTGATCCAAACACGCGGGAATGTTGCGAGAGTTAAGAAAAGCGCTTTTCTTAACTCGAGCAACATTTCCAAGTGTTTGGATCAGGCCATCCTAACATGGAAACCATAAAGTGATTGCTTTATAAAATAACAACAACACGATAGTCTTCCGTGTTTGGATGACCTGATCCAAACACGGGTTTCGACCAATCAGAACACGCGTTATATACATGTTATTTTATAAAACTATTTACATGTCAAATAGGTTATCAAGAAATAATGTACAAGAATGAGATTAATTACAGAAAAGCTAAAAAAACAACGGTCCTTAAGTTACTTATAAAGCTATTAAAATCTACCGACTGATGAACTATTACAGGAAGTTCGTTCCAATACTTACCAGCAGCATAGCTAAACGATTTCTTCTTCCACTGCAGATTAAATTTAGGAAGAGCGAGGTATACCCATCACCTCTCAGTCTATACTTAGTCTTCCTAAAGTGGAAGAGATCTCTGATATATGAGGGGCCATTACAAAATAAGCATTTATAAAGTAACTCAATTTGAGCTCGTTAAGATTGGTTTTCCTATTAGAGCTTTATGACAGTAGGCTAGGTTCAAACTAATCTCTAGTTTCTATATTATCTAGATTTGCCAAAACGCCCATTCCGGAGTGTCACAGTGTCACACTACCTCTAATCTTCCCAAAAATGTTCCGTTTTATTCCCGCTCCAATTACTGTCGATACTAACAATCACTATTAAATTTCATGTCCTGTGTAGTTGTTATAGGTTTCCAAACTCTCAATTTATCATATTTTTATTCTTGCATGCTATTTCGTCAATGAAATCTCAATCAAGTACTGATTCTGATGTTGTTTTTCGATCCAGGTGTCTTTACCATCCAAATATTGCATTACTGATAGCCATATGTAATGGACCAACAACTATGGAACAATATCTCGTATTTGAACCGTTGGAATACCACTTTCTCCACAGACTACTGTTTGAAGAGAAAGCTAAGTTAGAGGAGGACTCAATATTAAAAATCGCTCATGATGTAGCCAATGCTATGCAATACGTTTATAACATGGGATTTTTACATTGTTATCTTGGAGCACATAGTGTTATAGTTACACGTGATTACACTGCTAAGGTATATTTTTGGATTTTGCTGGATGTTATGTAATATTTCAAATCCAACTATGAGGACTGAATTAAGACAGTTAACTAGATTTCAAGTCCAGGCAATTTGATTAAGTCGAGGACTGGGTCAAAATGCGAGAACTTGAAATCTAGTCCAGTCCGAGGAATTGAAATGACATCTCATACGAATAAATCACAACTTAAAGTGAGGTAAACTAATTTTGATCTAGTCCAAGGACTGAATTAATTTTGATCGAGTCCTAGGACTGGGTCAATATACTCCACCAGGTATCTAATATTATCATGTGTGCAAAATAAAGCAATATATATATATAGGCATAGTACAAAACATGGACTGGACTGGACTGGACTGGACAGTTGGACTGGACTGGACAGTTGGACTGGACTGGACAGTTGGACTGGACTGGACTGGACAGTTGAACTGGACTGGACAGTTGGACTGGACTGATTTTTACATTTTCTCTATTCTTGACTTGCATGTCAGCCGCCATGTCAGGTGGCATGGCACAAAAGAATAT